GAAAAAAAAGGGTTCATCCAATAAAAACAAAGAAGGTAAGTCATTACTAACCCCAGAATTCGGGATTAGAGTGCATGTATAGCAGATGTGTTTTAGTAGTGGATGGCGTGGCAAAGGGTCGAAGTCCTGTTAGGTTTTTCTTGCTCTATCTGTTCCCGCTTGGGGAGATTCACCCTCATTATTAGTCCCGGTCACCTTTGTCACTGAAAAAGATGACATGCAACATTTTGCAGTTGCCAAAGGGGGAGGAAATCTTTCATTTCCTTATTGCTTCTATTCTTGACTGATGAAATATGTTGTCACCAGCACAGGAAGTGAGAGGAAATCTTTAACAGCAACACAGAGAGAAGTATTGTTTTTTTAAGTTAAGCTGGTGAATGCTAGAAGCTTTTATCTTCTTTTTTATTCTGGATTTCTCAGCATTTCCTGTCTGCTAAAGAGTTGTGCCTAGGACAGGAAGTGAGTGGAAATCTCTCTGATAGAGCCCCTGGATAGTAGTATAACCTGATATGACTTCTAACTTTCCACTTTGTATCCAGAATAAAGAAAAAAGATAGAGATACGCTTTTAATAAATAGAAAAACAAAGTATAGCAAAGGAAACATTTAATAATTAATTTTAAGCCCCTTTTGTGTAATACTTGTTATGTTTTTTTTTTTTTTAGTTTGGGAAACGCTTACCTCAGGAGTTTCTTGCATTCAATTTGTGATTTTCTCCACGAGATGTCAGTGTGCACCATATACATACACACTATATTGCCAAAAGTATTGGGACACCCCTCCAAATCATTGGATTCAAATGTTCCAATCACCTCCATGGCCACAGGTGTATAAAATCAGCACCTCGGCATGCAGACTCTTCTACAAACATTTGTGAAAGAATGGGTCAGTCTCAGGAGCTCAGTGACTACAAGCGTGGTACCGTGACAGGTTGGCACCTGTGCAATAAGTCCATCCGTCACATTTCCTTGCTACTAAATATTCCGCGGTCACCTGTTACTGGTATTATAACAAAGTGGAAGCAACTGGGAACAATAGCAACTCAGCCACAAAGTGGTAGGCCACGTAAAATGAGAGCGGGGTCAGCGCATCCTGAAGTGCGCAGAAGTCGCCAACTGTCTGCAGAGTCAATAGCTACAGACCTCCAACTTCATGTGGCCTTCAGATTCGCACAACAACAGTGCGTAGAGAGCTTCACGGAATGGGTTTCCATGGCCGAGCAGCTGCATCCAAGCCTTACATCA